AGCTCGCTGCTCGGGATTTATTCCTGTTGCTGCCTCTGCCGTCACCGCCGTTGGCATTTGCGTTTTCTTGTGTGTTCCACGGCTTCTGTCTGTCGTTGTGTTCTGCTCCTGATGAGAGATTTTTGTACTGCCGCTACCGCTGCCTTTTACTGCGTGCATGTGTGGGTGGATGGGGGGGCGGCCACGAATGGATACAGGACGAATAATGAGAGAGAAGGGAGAAAATATGAAGGAAGGAGAGAGAAAGAGGAGTGGGGGCGGGAGTAGCAGGCTGGGTGTAGTGCGTATCTACGGCATTTGTCGTTGTTACTTCGTCCCGCACGCAGGTTTGCATTGTTCTCCTCCATCGTCTCTGTGTGCTCTCTCACGCAATTCTTTTGATTTAATGTTGTGTATTTGCTCCACTTCATTGCTGTTGGTGGTGGTGTTGTTGGTGGTGGTGGTGAAGCAGCAACGGCTGTTGGAGCAGCACGGATGTGTTGGCACCAACACAAATGGAACACCGCAGGACGGGGAGAGGTACACTGGCGGGTGCTGGGGAGGGGAGTGTCGTGGGGCAGCTCCCCCTGCTCTCCACGTTTCGGGTCTGACAGCTTTCATGCTGACACACAAAGGGGCAGCGATGACCGCAGCAGAAGCAGGAAGTCGCGCGAGAATGTGCAGGTCTCTGGTTGTCTAATGCTTCTTTTTGGCGCCTCGGATCCCACGCCTCTGCACGCATTGAGGCTCTCTCTCACTCTCCCACTGCTTCTGCTTCCACAACTATTACGACAACAACAACAACAACAGCGACATGAGCAGTAACAATTTTTTTTAGTTTTGTTTTTCATCTTTCTTTCTTTTTTTTTTTTCTTGCTTCATGGTGTATATTGATGTGTGGGCACGTGTCTTCGTTCGCTGATGCCTTTCGCTCTCCCTCCCCCACCCCCTGCCGGCCGCCAGCCATCGCGTACGACGGCGTCTTGCGTGTTCGATTTGTGTGTGTGTGCAGCAGCAGCAGCAGCAGCAGCAGGGGGGGGAGGGAGGTGAGGAAACGTACATCAAGAGCGAAGGAGCAGGGAGGCGTGGAATACACTGGCAAAGGGGGTGGGGGCGTGCCTGTGTATTACTGCGTACGTGAGTCAATGAATGAGTGATCGAACGACGCCGTGGGATCTGTATGTCGGCACGAACAAGAACACCCCCCTCCACCATAAAATGCACCCAGAACAACAACTACACAGATTACAAGCAAACCAATGGGCAAACAAAGACAGGCACGCAAACACATACAAACACACACGAGAGTGAACATTTCGTCTTCACTCGTTCGCTCCTTCTTTTGCCTCCATCTACCTACCTAATATATATATATATATATATATATTACAAACCAAAGGATCTGAAAATCAATCAAAATCGAAGGGGAAAAGAAGAGACAAAAAAAGGGAATACGCAGCCGAAAGGGAAACCAAAACAGATGAAAAGGGAAAACAATATATTCAGGAAGGAGGAGGCCGAAGAGGGGTGGGAATGAAAAGATGAAAGAGAAAGGGAAAAGCACGAGGGAGGAAAAAAAAAAAGAATAGCAAGAGGTTGTATCCATATATATATATACAGATATACATATACATATATATATATATGTATATGTATATATATATATGTACTCAACCAATAGGGAGCTACCCACTCCCACTCACACACACACATACACACATTGGTTGGGCATACACGCCACGCGAGATACCTCCATGCACCAATCTCCACAAGTGCACTTCCCCCCATCTTACTTTTTGTTGTTTTTGCTTCTGAGTTTCCTTTTTTTGTTGACTATTTGGCTGAATCCCCCTCATTTCCTTTTCTTTTTGTTTGCTGGTGCCTGCTCCTGACGCAGACTCTGCCTCGCACTCAATTTCATACCCTCTATCTCTCTCTATTGCGTACTGTTTACACGACGGGCAGTATTACAACAGCAGAGAGGAGGGGGGGCGCTGAGTGAGTGAAAGGCGACGAGGTGGCGGATGGAGGGAGAGGCTGAGGAGGTGTGTGCGTGTATGTGTGTTCATGTTAATCCATATGTGTATCTCTGTGTGTGTGTGTGTGTGCGTGTGAATGTGAGGGAGAAGAAGAGGAAAGAAAAAATGAGATGATGTGTGAGCGAAGCGAAATTGGGAGAAGCTGCGGCATAGTAAGCAATAGAAGAAAGAAAAGGGGAAAAAGGTCTGGAAAAAGGAGGGCGAACAGAATGGGAATGGAGTTGTATATGCGGTCTGCACAGCGAGCGAGGGAAGAAAGCGTCCTTCTTCGTCCCGTATGTGCATGCCGCTCACGCAGATTCTGAGGAGGTGTAGCGTCTGCGTTTACATCCACCTCCACTATTCTTGTTTTCTCTTTCTTCTGAATTTTTTTTTCTGTGATTCTGTTGCCTGTGTGTGTATGTGTCTGAGTATGTGTGTGTGTGTGTGTGTTTCTCTGTCTTTCCCCGTTTTGTGAGGCGATTACAAACTGAGGGAATGGTTCAGAGTGGAATGTTGTGTGCGTGTGTGTGTGTGTGTGTCTGTCTGATGGCATTACTTGCTACTTGAGCCCGACAGCTGTATATATATATATATATATACATGTGTGTGTGTGCGTATGTATGTATGCACGGTATGTATGGATGCGCACACACACGTCGTTGTTGTTGTTGTTGTTTTTTTGTTCCGCTATTCACCGCTTTTACCATTGTCCCACACACACACGCACACATCCATACATACATACGCTAAGAGAGAAAGACATGTGTGTTTTTCTATCACCTCACTACTCCTACGCACGCATTCTCTCATTTTTGCCCTCGCTTTTTCGTGCACCGCGGCGGTAAGACCAAAACGGCTGTCGCATTCATTTTGTGTGTTCCTCGCTTAGCATCCGCTCATGTTTCTCTCCCAGGTTGCAAGAGAGAGTGTGAGAAGCTTCCAAACCCAAAACGCGGTGCATACATGAGAACGACTCAAACAGACAAGGCAAACAAAAAAAAAAGAGCAAATTAGGAGGTACTCATTAGCCGCGGTGCCGCTGTGTGTGTATGTTTTTTTTTTTTGTCTTTCGCTGTTTTCTGGTCGGTGTGCGTGTGCGCGTGCCTGCCTGCTGAAGCGCACAGAGGGCGGTGCGTAGGCAGCTCACGTGTATCGCTTCGTCTCTCTTCTCCCCGCTTGTGTCTCTTCTCGGCGCTTCCGCGTGCGCACACACCTAATAGAGAAGCGGCAGGGCAGATGTCGTCGATCGCGAAGAAGATGCTGGAGCGCCACGGCTGGAAGGAGGGCATGGGGCTCGGTAGGGACGCGCAGGGCGTCAAGACGTACGTGAAGGTGGTGCGCCGCGACCCGCACACCGCAACGGGGTTGGGGCACGCGGCGGATGCCACGCAGGCACCGCAGGCCTCCACCTTCGCCGTCGAGCTCGATGCGGTGTACTCCACGCTGTCGGCGACGAAACGCGGGAGAAAGAAGGTGGCGGTTAGCGACAGCGACGCGGAGGAGGAGGAGGCGGGCACACGCACTGCTGGGAAGGGCGACGCCGAGAGGCGAAAGCGACAGCGCAGCCCAAGTAGTAGTAGCAGCAGCAGCAGCGAGAAGAGTAACAGTGACAGTGAGGAGGACTCTGATGCACATGTTGACATCACGCGCCTGAAAGACGACGAGTTACTGCGGCGATGCGGCGGTGTGCGTTTGGGCCGCGCTGGTCGTCACCGTTTCTTCGAGGGTAAACTGCGCCGCATTGAGGAGTCCCACCGTGAGAGCTAATATCCGGCAATCAGCAGGCAACAGACTGCATTGAGTGAAGCACAATATGAAGCGGTGCGTTGAGCGAGGAGACGGCGGGATTAAACGAAGGGAATCTAAATACACACAGTAGTAGTGGTGGTAACGTGTACCTCCTCTCTTATGTTGCGAGTGCGTGCAGATGAATTGCTCACAAGTACGGACAGCGTGACGGGCTCACTCTGCGCGGTGGCATTTCTGTCTTTCTTTTCGTCTTCTTCTCTATTCATTGATCTTGCAACAGGTGGAGTTGCTAGTGGCCAAGAAGGAAGCTGAGTAGGAGAAGACTCCCGTTGAAGTTGTGGTAGAGATGGCACACCTCCTCTCAAGAACAGGCTGCTGTCTGCTCTTTGTTGCTCCAACGGGGAGGACGGCAATGCGTCGTGCGGCACTGCTCCGTGCTGCCCCCACACCCCACGCCTCCAAGGGCGCAGCCGTGGATCAACAGCCGTCGGAAGGAAAAAGATCTGATGAGATGGTTCTTCGGCTGCAGGATCAACTGGCGAAGATCAGTGAGCGTGTCGCCCACGCCGACAGTGTTCTTCAGCAGTACGCGACTGGCCTCTCGCTCGCGCAGCGGCAGCAGGCTGTGCTGGAAAGGCGCATTGTGGCATTGGAGGAGGAGGCTGTGCGGACGCAGCAAAAAGTAACAGAGACGACACGGATAGCCTCTGATGTGGTCCTGCAACACCGTAACGTGGAGGCCCTGGTGCGGCAGATGGAGAAGCTTATTCTCCAACGCGTCGCTTCGTCACCACCAGTGTCAGCGACAGGGAAAGCGACCGTTGATAAGATTTCCTGTACCATGAGCGAGGGGTGCGTAGAGGCAGAGCAGCAGCAGCAGCAGCCGATAGAAGCACCAGCAACTGGTGCGACGGCAGCAGCGGCGGTTCAGATCTCCGCCCTCAGTAGTCGCCTGGAGGCCTTGCAGGCACGCGTCGAGCGTCTTACTATGGAAAAAATTGTGCTGGATAAAGTTGGGCCTCATGCTGTGCGGCATCAACAGAAAGACGTGGAGATGGCGGTGGCACGTGCGGCAGCCACAATAGCCGAACCAGGAAGCAGCGAGAGAAAGACGCCAGTACTTTCTCCACAGGACCTCGCCACAGTGCTGAGGAACACTGGAGCATTTCCCTTTAAGGACAACATGGGGGCCACACGCATCAGCAGTCAGAAGGTGCTTGTCCGCGGCATGCCTGTAAACTTCGGGGCCACGGAAGTTCGCGACTTGTTTTCGCGTGTTGGGACTGTCGTCTCTTGTGTGGTGCGGCGAGCACCTGCTGCCGCGGTGGCAGCAGCGCCAGTGTCCTCCCGCTACAGGTCACAGCGGCAGGAAGAGGATGTGGAGAATGAGCCTGAGCACCCGGCACCCTCTCCTCCTCCTGCTTTCGCCGATGAGCAGGAAAGAGCGTTTGAAGTGACGTTCCACCTGGTGGAGCAGGCTGTGCGTGCTGTGTTGGAGCTGGACAGGTATCAGCTGAAGGGGAATCACACCCTCTCCGTGGAGCCCGTAGTGGCTGCTGACATCATTGCTGCACTGCGGCAGATGGAACAAGAATCTAAGAAGCGGTAGGGTTGCATTGGCTATCAGTATCACTTGTTGATGGCGTTATTTCTTTGTGTGTGTTTGTGTGTGGCTCTCTCTCTCTCTCTCTCTCTCTCTCTCGAACGGCTGGCTTCTGGGCGCTGCTGCTTCTGGTGGTCCGCGTCTGGTGCACCTTGGGGGTGGGCCCGGAGCACCTCACACCCTTAACAGACACATCGAAGAAGACAGAAGAGAGGGGAAGGGGCGGGGGGTGAAGAAAAAAAAAACAGAGCATATCGGTCTTCGCCTATCCATCTATCTGCCTCCCTCCCTTTAAGGTGCTGTTCACTTTGGGCCTTTGCTTTCCTTGCCGGCATTTGGATCTCCGTTCTTGTTGTCAAAGGGGGAAGTCATATCATTCACCGCGGCAGGATCCGCACATACCCACACAAACACGCACACACACAGAGAGGTACCAAAGGAAGAAGACCAAGAAGAAAAAAAAAGATACAGTGGTGCACTGGTGTATACATCTCCCTTACTCTATATATACACAGCTATAGTCCTTCATTGACTGAGAATTGTAAGAATTATGGGGCGCAAAAACGCCGACAGTGGGGCAGAGAACATCAAGGTTCTTGTGCGATGTCGCCCGCTCAACGAGAAGGAGCGGGCGCAGGGCTACAAGTCCTGTGTCGACGTGGATCTCACTGAGCACACTGTTACGGTACGCAGCATTGTTGGTGAGCCCGACCGCTGGACGTTTGACGCAGTCATCAACAACACCTTCAGCCAGAAGGACATATTCACGCAGTTCATTATGCCGCTCGTAGACTCCGTGCTAGAAGGATTCAACGCCACTGTGTTTGCCTACGGCCAGTCGGGATCCGGAAAGACGCACACCATGACGGGGAAGATGGACGAAGAGGAGCTTAAGGGGATGACACCGCGCTGCTTTGGCCACGTTTTCAACCACATCGCCTCGCTGCGTGAGACGTCGCCCAACAAGCAGTTCTCCCTCTACGTCTCCTTCATCGAGCTCTACAACGGCAAGGTGCAGGACCTACTGGCGCGGCAGCAGGTGCCCCTCGCGCTGAAAGAGAATAAGGACAAGACATTTTACGTGCAGGGCGCTCACATCCCGCAGGTGAAGTGCCCGGAGGACATCTTCCGGCACATGGAGGAGGGCAATGAGCGGCGGCGCGTCGCGTCGACGGAACTTAACGCGGACAGCTCGCGCTCGCACTCCGTTTTCAGCCTCATTATTGAGTGCACGGAGATCTGCGAGGACGGTGACTCCCGCTCCGTGACGAGCAAGCTGAACCTTGTCGACCTCGCAGGGTCGGAGCGGCAGAGCAAGACAGGTGCCGCTGGTGACACGCTCAAGGAGGGCTGCAACATCAATCTTTCGCTCAGCGCCCTCGGCACGGTGATTGACACCATTGTGAAGGGTAGGGGGCACGTGCCGTTCCGCAGCAGTCCTCTCACGATGCTTCTGAAGGACTCCCTCGGTGGGTCCAGTAAGACAGTCATGTTCGCCAACATTGGGCCAAGCGAGCACAACTTCTCTGAGACGGTCAGTACCCTGCGGTTCGCTGATCGCGCAAAGCAAATCAAGAACAAGCCAGTTGTGAACATGGACACGAAGGATCAGAAGATAGTTGAGCTCACTGAGATTGTCCACGAGTTGCGGGAGAAGCTTAAGAAGTACGAAACGGAGGGCACGGATTCTCTTGAGAAGGAGGTGGAGGAGCTCCGCGAGAAGGTTGGTGAGTTGGAGGTGAACCTCGATAACGTCACCAAGGCACGCGAGGCGGACGCTGTGGACTTCGAGAATGTCACAGCGAAGCTGAACATGGAGCGACAGGACACCACCTCCCGAGTTGTGGAGCTGGAGGAGCAGATTGTGCAGCTACAGAATGATCTACAGATCGCCGAGTCCAGTGTCAGTGACGAGCGATCACGGCGGGAGGAGATACTGCACCTCTGCTCGCAGTACCTCCGTGGTGAGGGGGAGGGTGCCAAGTCCATCACAAGCACTGATGAATTGGAAACTGTGCTGCGGGACCGTGCACACGGGAAACAGAGTGCTGAGCTGACCCATCTGCACACCACCGTGCAGAAACTAGAGGTGGAGATGAAGCAGATGCGGAAGGAGCACAAGACGGTGACGCGGGAGTTAGAGGATAAACTGCAGGAGGCCCAAGCAGCACTCAAGTCGACTGAGTCGAAACTGCGCGGAGCCAAGAAGGAAGTGAAGGAAGCAAGGGAACGGCAGAAGGCAGAGTCACTCCAGATTAACGCCACCATGGTAAATGACAAGGAGGTGGCGGAGTTGCGTGCCGCACTAGAGAACGCGCAGCGAATGCTGCAGGAGAATGGTCTCATGGCTAATATGGACACCAAGGTGCAGGCCATGCAAAAGAGCCATGAGGAAATGTTAAGGGCGTGCGTAGAGCAGCTGCAGCAGGCGAAGAAGGCGCTGAGCCAACCAGGTGCAAATGACTCTATTATAGTACAGCAGCTCCGCGCCGTCCTTGCTGAGGACGACAAGACGTACGACGTTGCGCTGCAGCACGTGTCAGACATGCACAACTACGTGCACGAGGTAAAGACTGCCATGCGGGAGGCGCAGACGGTGCCGCTCGTTGGCGTCACCGGCGACACCACGGCCTCAATAGAGACCATAAAGAAGATTGAGGCGGTGGATGCGCAGGAGGCGGGTGTGTACGCTGACATGCTGTCGAAGCTGCACGCCGCCGTGGACAAGGCGCAGTCGCAGCGCAATCACCTCCTCGACGCGATAGCGGCGTTGCCGGACACGCCAGTCGACATCCAAGGGNCGTGGACAAGGCGCAGTCGCAGCGCAATCACCTCCTCGACGCGATAGCGGCGTTGCCGGACACGCCAGTCGACATCCAAGGGGAGATACGCAAGGTTGTGACGGAGAACGATGAGCTGCGCCAGATGTACACGGATGCCGCAAAGACGGCGGAACAGGCGCAGCTGCGCACGGCGGAGGAGCAGCGCCGTGGTGCATCCCTGGCCACCACGCAGGGGCAGCAGCTCGACGTGCTGAGACAGGAGTTTGCGCGGCGAGAGAAGGAGCTGTTGGCCGCCGTCAAGGTGGACGCTGAGAGCAGCGACGGGCAAGCGGTGCTGGCGTTACTGCGCAAGGACGCTGCCGCCGTGGATGCGGTTGGCGAGAAGGAACTCGACGGCCTCCGTAGTGAAGTGGAGGAGGAGCGTGCGAAGTGTGAAGCACTTGTGCAGTCGAAGGAGGCGATGCAGGAGGAACTCAAGTCGCTGAGGCGCGAGACGGCGGAGAGTGAGCGGCGCTACGTGGAGCTGCAGGGGAAGCTGCAGGAGGTGGTCAGCGAGTACGAGCGGCAGCTGGAAGATGCCGCTGGCAGCGCCGAGAAGGTGGCCGACATGGCAGCAAGACTGAAGGAGCGTGCGGAGCAGCTTGATCAGATGCGGGGGCTTCTGGAAAAGCAGAAGGCGCTCATTGTGAAGAGCAACGAGAAGACGGAGTTCTTCCAGCAAAGGCTGCGGGAGGTACAGGCAAACTCCGAGCGTCTGGAGAGCAGCTACAGGGCGAAGCTGCAGGAGCGTGACGAGAACTTCCAGCGCGCGCTGAACCAGCGGCTTNCAAACTCCGAGCGTCTGGAGAGCAGCTACAGGGCGAAGCTGCAGGAGCGTGACGAGAACTTCCAGCGCGCGCTGAACCAGCGGCTTGAGGAGTACGCGGAGGACCACCGCACCGACGTCACCCAGCGAGAGGAGAAGTTGAAGAAGTTCAAGAAGAAGATCAAGAAGCTTGAGGCGGAGGTGGATCACTGGAAGGAGGAGTACGACCGCAAGGTGTGCGAGTGCGAGGATCTGCGCGACACAATCGAGGAGCAGAAGGTGGAGCAGATGCGCCTGCTGCGCCGCATGGACAAGACGGAGGAGGAGGCGGAGGTCTACGAAAAGAAGGAGCAGATCCAAAACGCGCTGGAGCGTGCCAAGGAGGAGCAGCGGCGCAAGAAGAACCTCTTCGCACTCGGCGAGGTGGCGAATGTGCGGCGGGCCGAGTACTGAGATGTGGTGCTTGCTTTGGTGTTGGGTGGGTGAGATATAAGTCGTTTCAATGGAGTGCAGCTGCCGTACATCCTATCCTCTTGTTGCTGTTGCAGATGTTGGGTCTCTTCTTTGTTGGTGGGGTGGTGTTCCTTCTTTGTTTGTTTGCTTTCTAATTTGTACAAATTTTTGTGCTGCAGCTGTTCTTCCTGGGATGGGCGAGAGATGGCTTGTGAGTGGGGAGCTGAAGGGCGTTTGGGTCCTTCCGTCATTGTTTCGCTCCTCTGCATCTTTCGCCTTCCGCACAGCAATGCGTGGTGATGCAAGCAAGGAAGAGAAAGAAAGCGAGAAAGAGAGGAGTGAAGATGTGTCTTGTTTTTTTTTTTTTTNTTTTTTTTTTTTTGTTTTTTCTTCTTCCGGGTGTGGATGCGCGCACGTGAAGCCTCATGCGCTTTATATGGAGATATGTTCAGCCTTGATCAGCGCTACCATGAGTAGATGTATTGCATTATATTATTATTATTACTAATGCTTTTTTTTGTTTTTGTTTTTGGCTGGTTGGGGAGGGGCGTTGTGTGGTCCCCTTTTCTTTTTGCCGTAGCGGTAGTAGAAAATGTGCACGTGAGCCTCTACGGGTGTGGAGAGGGGTGTATATGTGTATATGTGTCTGTGTGTGCCCGCGTGCGCTCTCTCCTGATATAAAGAAAAACGCGCCACTGTGTTTGTTCCCGCAGCGCACCTCAGTGCTCTATATATAGTCATATATATATATATATATATATATATACTATATGCCGTATGAATACGCGAAGGTATATGTATGTGCACGTCAAGCACAATGTGAGGGATGAGAGAGAGGCGTCAGGGTGTGTGGGCTGTGGTAGGTGCACGTGGAAATAACACGGGCACACGCACACGCACATACACACACAAACAGAGAAAGAGAGAGGGGGGAAAGATATATGAAAGGACTGCACAGTCACTGAACAGCATGTTTCTTTTTCGACCTGCCCTTCTTTTATGTGTGTGTGTGTGTGTGTGTGTTTCTCTATTCTGTGTGTCGGAATGTTTGAAGAGCTGTGTTGTCATTATGTTTGTGTGATCTTCGCCTTATGTTGACCTTCCGACTCCACTTTGGTCGCTTTCTGCTACGCGTGGGCTTTTCTTTCGGTGTAGGGGATGGAGAAGGTGACGTAACTGCGCCTTAGTCGCTCCGCACCGCTCGCCGCAGCTTGCAGTAGTAAGAGGAGGGGGGGGCAAAAGAAACAGCATCAGTGGTGCATTCTCTCCACGAACTGAACGGTGCACGCCGACTCTTCATATTATGCGCGGCAATACGCATAAATCTTCCTTTTTTGTTGTTGTTTTGCTTTGTGGTTTGGGCGTTTCCTACGTTTTTGTTGAGTGTTGTTTGCCAGCCCTTTCCCTCGCACCTTCCGTGTGTGTATGTGTGCCGTGGGTATTTTGGGGTAGCTCCTTCAGTGCAAGGTGTGGGGGGCGCGTCCGCCACACGGTGGATATTGTTCCATAGTCTAGGCCGCATGGCTTGGACGCAATGCAATAGGTGGTTCTGTGCTTGTTGTTGCGCAATTGAGCCCTTGTCTCTCTCTTTCTCTGTGTGCTGTGGTGTGGTGTGGTGTGGTGTGTGTGACGGCAGTGTTTGTTTCTCCCCTGCTAGTCTCCCAGTTTGCACAACAATGGTGTATTGCATTCTCTTCACAGTGACGCTGAGTACGAAGGCGCAAGAGCGTCCCTTCCTGGAGGCTTTCCGGCAGCTGCAGCAGCACTACAAGCAGCACGAGCCCGGCCTCATCACGTACGAGCTGCACCGCGACGAGAGTAACCCGCTGCGCTACTGTGTGGTGGAACGCTATGCGTCGCGCGAGGACGTGAAGGAGGTGCACAAGCAGAGCGCCCCGCTTCAGCACTTCTTAGCTGCGCTGCAGCGGCTTGACATCAGCAACACTTCCCGTGCTGAGTTTTCGAGCGACCGCGTCATGGCAGAGCTGCAGTCGATGCCAGTCAGCGCCGACGACGTGCAGCTCGCCGCCCGTGTGGCGGACGCGTCGGCCGCGCCGCTGCGGCAGCAGAAGGGCGTGCTTGTCTTCTGCGGCTCCCGTGTGGGGGCGAAGCGCAGCTACGTCGCCGAGGCGGAGGCGCTGGGCGAGTACCTCGCCGTGACGTGCAGACTGCCGCTCGTGTACGGCGGCGGCACCGTTGGTGTCATGGGCGCTGTGGCGCGGGCAACAAAGCAGCACGGCGGGCGTGTTGTGGCGGTGACGCCGCACGCACTGATGCCGCGCGAGGTGATGGGTGATATGCTGGGCGACGTGGTGTACATGACGCAGACGATGAGCGAGCGCAAGAGCATCATGTTCGCCCACTCTAGCATGGTGGTAGCTCTTCCGGGTGGACTGGGGACGTTTGACGAGCTGCTGGAGGTGCTGACGCTGCAGCAGCTTAATGCGTACCAGACGAAGATCGGCATTGTCAATGTGGATGGCTTCTTTGACCCCTTCCTCGCGCACCTGCAGCACATGGTGAGGGAGGGCTTTCTGGAAGAGTACATCACGTCTGCGTTTGTTGTGCGGCCCACCGCGGTGGAGCTGATGCAGGCTCTGGAGTCGTTCACGCCGCCATCTCCGCCGGGGGCCTCGCTGCAGTGGCACACGCGTCCGTAGGCCAGAAGTGGCTGCAGTAGCACCTAAGTACATATATATATATATATACTAAAAATGAAACGGAAAGAGGAGCTGTGGGTGTTTGTACAATGGTTCTAAATGCTTTCTCGTGTCGTGTGACGCTGTGGTCGCGTTTTAGATGCTCGAAGCCCAAAAGGAGGAAGAATATGTGTGGGGTATAAAGGAAAGGTGAGACGCTTCATGGGCGGTGCGATCTGCTTATGATTTTGTCTTGTTATTTGTTATTTTCCTGTGTGTTGTCCTCCTTAAGGCTAGCATAAACGCAGAAACACAAACACAGCCACCCACTCTCTAACGCAGATTCACATGTGTGTGTGTGTGTGTGTGTATGGCTTTCTACTTTATTTGGTTCTCCTCTTGCTGCACGCCTGTAGAAGGTTGAAGAAAAAAAAAAGGTCTGAAATGTCTCTAAGTAATGTGGACACCATCCCGGTGGCACTCACGTACGACGATGTGCTGCTCATCCCACAGAAAAGCCCTGTGCGCTCCCGCAAAGAGGTGAGCACCGGTACACGCCTCTCCCGCAACGTGAAGCTGCATATACCCATCGTTGCCAGCAACATGGATACCGTCTGTGAACAGCAGACCGCTATCGCGATGGCACGCGAGGGAGGTATTGGTATCCTGCACCGCTTCTGCAGCATCGACGAGCAGTGCGGGATGGTGTACAAGGTCAAGCGAGCACAAACTTTTCTGATTGAGGAGCCCCGCATGATCACGCCGAACCAGACCAAAGAAGAGGCACTCGAGGGCCTCAACTGGAGCGGGCGCAAGGGTGGCGTTAACTGCCTCATGGTGGTTAACGACTTCACCAAACGCACACTGCTCGGCATCATCACAAGGCGTGATCTCGTGTTCGCCGACGCCAGCACACCCGTGTCAAAGCTCATGACACCGCTGAAGCAGATGGTGGTGTCAAGAAAGATAGATATTACACTGGAGGAGGCGCGAGAGATGATGCGGGCACACCGCACCGCGAACATCCCCATTGTTGGGCCGAGCGGTGAGCTGCTGTACCTTGTGACACTTTCCGATGTTTTGAGGCTGACGGAGAACAAGCAGGCCTCACGCGACTCCCGCGGCCGTCTGCTTGTTGGCGCCGCTGTTGGCGTGAAACGCGACGACATCACACGCGCCGCGCGGCTCGTTGCAGCGGGCGCGGACGTGCTGGTGGTGGACATCGCCCACGGCCACAGCAGTATTTGCATCGACATGGTCCGGCAGCTCAAGGCGGACCCACGCACGAATAGTGTCGACGTCATCGCCGGCAATATCGCGACGAGCGAGGCGGCGGAGGAACTTATCCGCGCCGGCGCCGACGGGTTGAAGATTGGCGTGGGCCCTGGCAGCATCTGCACGACGCGCCTCGTCGCGGGCTCAGGTGTGCCGCAGCTCTACGCCGTCATGGCGTGCACGCGTGTGGCGCGGCGGTACAACGTCCCGTGCATCGCCGACGGCGGCGTGAAGATGGCGGGCGACATCTGCAAGGCTATCGCCGCTGGCGCCGACACTGTCATGCTCGGCAACGTGCTGGCCGGCACTGACGAGGCGCCGGGACGCGTGCTCGTGAAGGACGGCCGCAAAGTAAAGATCATCCGTGGTATGGCCGGCTTTGGTGCGAACCTCAGCAAGGCTGAGCGCGAGCGCACGTTGGACGAGGACGTATTCGTGGAGATGGTGCCGGAGGGCGTGGAAGGCAGTGTGCCGTGCAAAGGCCCGATCGCGCCGATCGTGCGGCAGCTCGTCGGCGGCCTGCGCTCCGGTATGTCGTACTGCGGCGCCCGCACCATCCCGGAAATGCACGCAAAGGCGCGTTTTCTCCGCATGACCGGTTCAGGCCTCCGGGAAAGCGGCAGCCACGATATATCCAAGCTGTGACCCTTATTCTTGTATATAGATGTCGAAATGGGTGTCCGGCTTTCTGTCTGCTCTCAATCAAAATGGAAAATGGGATTAAAAATAACGATCTGTCGCATTGACGCCCTGTGGCGTTGTTTCCCGCTTCGCCACAGCCACACATCATACAGCGTCCATGTGAAGAGCCGGGAAATAAGCTGAGGATTTGGTGTGAATCCTAAAAAGAAAAAAAAAAGGGGGGGCGGGGGCTATTAGAAAGGAGGGAAAAGGATCAGGCTACACATGATATGTGCTTTTTGTTTGTACGCACACTAATTATATTACCGGTGCCTTAGGCTGGCGTACACAATCTGACCGTGTTTGTGGTTGTGCTTTCCGCCGGTCAAGGTGTGTTGTTTTTATCAATACAACGGTGCCTTTTGCTGAGCAGAGAAGAGTTCAAGAACGATCGTCCTCAACACTGTGATAAAGGTAGGGCCAGAGCCGAGGAGGGCATGGGGAAGGAAGAGAGGTGTGCCCGGTGTGTTCCACTCGGGGTGAAACTTGTTTTGTTTTGTCACGGGGAAACAAGACGTAGGGGTGGCATGGCGCAACTGTCGGCATAATGGGATGGAGCCATAGCGCATTGCTGCTCTGACCACACCCACAATCTCTCTTTTTCTCTCTCCGTCTCTACGGTGTTGTTGTTATTTTATTTGCTGATGGAAAGGTGGGAGAAAGAGAGAAGGTGGAGAGGCAAAAAGTGGGGCGATGAGGTCCGCATTCGAGATAGCGAGGAGTCACATCGCCCTGCCACTGTCACAAGACACCGGCACACTTCGGCGTGTGCTGCGGGACTGGGTGCACTACGCGGAACGCCTGCAGCTGCAGGAGAAGCCCACATGCCCTGCCGCGTTGTGCATCACGGTGCACCCATCGCGAGGATGCACCCGTCGCCAACAAAAGCAGCAGCAGGAACGACAGCATTCCTATCACCAGCATCAACATAAGTCGCTTAGCGCAGTAACAGGGAAGGCGGCGTCCGTGTACACAAAGCATATCCCTTTGCAGCTGTGGACGGCACTTCTTCCGTGGGAAGTGCAGCGTGGGCTCTCGTGCAGTGAGTTGCGGCTTCCCAATGCTCACAGTACGGCTGCCGTTGAGGCGGCGGCGCATGTGGAAAAGAATGAAGTGACGGGGGACGGGGAGGAAGACCCGCTTGGTGTAGTGACGGCGCCTTCGACGAGTGGGAGTGGCGTGGGGTTGCACAAGCCGGCAGCGCCATCGCCAGCTGCAGCTGCAGCGCCAGGAATGCTCTTCGTCATGGATGCTGATGCTGTCGCGCAGGGCATCGGTTTCTGGAGCGGCGCCATCCAGCAGCCGATCGATGTCGCATTCATCACGCCCGTGGAGCCGGCGGCAGTCGACGCGCCGTCGTTTCAGCAGCTGCGTCAGTGTCGCCTCGCCGCGGCTGATGGGTCCAGTGAGAATGACGGCTACAGCCCCGCCCGCTTCTTCCCCGATGGAGAGTTGGACTCCCCAACCGTCACCTTCGCGGTACAGTCGTACGCACACTTGGACCCGTTCCCCCACTGCGATAGGAGCGCGGGTGAAGGTGCAGGTGGTGGGGCGCGTCAGCACACAGCCGAGCCCGAAACAGCAACGCCAGCGACATCAAAAACACCTGATGGACAGGTGGCAAGGGATACAGTCCCACGTTACGTTCTGGAGACCACGCGTTACCTGCTGCGAGACAGCATAGCGAATGCCTTGTGCGAGTTTCATCAACTGCACCAGGTTGCCAGTGGAAGGAAAACACAAGACACTGCTTCAGATAATGTGGAGCTCACCATCACATTGGTGCTTTCGGATGCATTAAAGGAGGAACTTCGAGAGAAGGCGCGCTTGTACACCAACTACGTGCTGCCGCTCGAGGAACACATACGCCACCACATCCGCCGGCTGAACACTTCCGTGTCAGATGCCCTCACCGATGACGGTGTCGGGGAACAAACGGAGAAGACAAAAGACAATCTTGTCGTGCATGCTGCTGCTCCTGCTGCTGGTATTATTCGCCCCTCCCAGGCGGGTGTAACGCGTGCCGATCGGAACCTGTCACGCCGCTCACCGATGCTGGCAGACGAGGACGAAGGCCGCCCGTCATGTCTTGTCCCCAGCGTCTTGGGCAAGCACGAGGCCCCAGCTCTGCAGCGGGCTCAGCAGCAGCAGGGCCAGTTCGTTAGCGCCAGAGCACTCGCGCGGATTCCCAACACAGCCTCCCGCATGCCGAGCGTGCAACCGATCGACTACGAGCTGTTCGATCTCTGCCTGCGTCTGGGTCTTTGCCAAAAGGACGCCATCTACTACTTCTATGGACGCATCATGCGGGAGTGGCAAAAGGAGCTGCAGCGCCTGCAAAGAAGCACGGCGTCTGGCGGCGGTGGTGGTGGTGGTGATAGGGGAATCAATAGTGCAGGGATTGGTGAGGCAGACGTGGGGCGCATGTTGCTGCTCGTGCGTGACCCCTCGCTTCAGGTCCCAGCGGAGCTCGTGGCCTGCGTGGAGGCCGTCGCGCAACGCCGCGGCATCGCCATCCGCGAGGGGTCGCCGTGAATTTAAGCGTCGCAGGGGAGGGAGGGAAGGGCATACTCAGACGTATTCACACCAGACAGATACGCGTCCCCGCGCACCGGTTTGTTTGGTTTTTGTGTTTAATATGATGTTGTTGTTGTTTGTGGTGGCGATGGTAGTGTAGTTGGTTGGTTCGTTACAATCAGTGTCCGCGCAATCCCTCAGATTGTGTGTGTGTGTGTCGCCGTCGCCGTGTTCCGTCTGCTCATTCGCGTGGTGTTATAAGCGTCGCCTTTTTTTTGTTGTTGTTTGTCGGTGCTTTGCATTCGCTGACCTTTCTTTTTTGTTGTTGTTGTTGTTGTTGTTGTTGTTGTTGAGTGAATTAAGAGGGGAGGGAAGCGAGACTGTGAGGGGGAAGGAGGAAGATGTCGCGGATGCGCTTTAAGGGCGGTGCGTGGACGAACAGCGAGGACGAGGTGCTGCGCGCCTCGCTGACGGTGTATGGCCTGCAGAACTGGGAGCGCGTCGCGTCGATGCTGGTGCGCAAGACGGCCGCGCAGTGCCGCGAGCGGTGGGAGAGTTACCTCGACCCGCGCCTGCACATCCATGAGGCGTGGACCGCCGCGGAGGAGGAGCAGCTCGTGCAGCTGCAGTCACTCTTCGCCAACCAGTGGAACCTCATAGCGCGCGAACTGCGGCACCGCACCGGCATGAACCGACCGGTGTGGCTCTGCGAGGAGCACTACCACGCCCTCCTCGACGCCCTCGAGTACGAGCGGCAGCGGAAGGACGGCGGCAGCATCAGAAACGAGTCGATGACGCTGGACGACTTCCTGGCGGAGCGCAGGCGGCACCGCGGCGCCCATCAGGGCCACGAAACGCGCGCGGCGAGACCTGACGCCGTCAACTCGGAGGTGTTCGAGAAGGAAATGGTGGAGTTCGCCGTCAGCCGCCTGGCAAATCAGGACGGGAAGAAGGGGCTGCGCAGGGAGCGCAAGAAGCAACTTGAGCACACCAGCTTCCTCGCCAAGCTGCAGAGCAACCGTGAGGCGATCGAGTCCGGCACACTGTCAGCAAACGCGAAAAAGCGTATGGAGCGTGCCATGTTGGAGGATCTTGCGGGGCCCAGTGACACACGGCTGCGTGACGACACAGTCGAGGACAACGATAATGATGAGGATAAGGGTGATAATGATGTGGAGGTCGACAAGACTACAAGGCGACGACAGCAAGGGGCCTTTCAGCCTATCGATCTCGGCGCGGACAAGAAGGAAGCTGGTATTCAGGCGAAGCAGCGTGTGCTGGTGAAAGATTTGTCAGGGAGCGAGGCGCACCAACAGCAGGAACGTGGAGCGGCCGCCGATGGTGTGAATGTGGAGCTGCTGCGACTGGCGAGCGGCCTGCCCACCACCGGGGACCGCCAACTGGAAGGCAAAAAGAGTTCACTGCTGCTGGCCAGTATCGGCAGCGCCAGCAACATCGACAAAAAGAGCACTAACATCAGCAGCAGTGGTCACATTGATCAGGGAGACCTTGATAGTCTCTTCGCGTCACTTCCTGGCGTCGTGACGGCCACACGGGAAACAGATGTACAGAAGAACACGTTTGCAGATGACCTATTTATAGGCCTGCCGGCGCCGGAGCCCGTTAGCAACAGTCGCAGCAGCAGCAGCAGCGTTGCGGAGCAAGTTGCTGTTGTAAATAATGATGTGGTGAAGGTCGCGGAGGAATCCCCGGCGACAGAGGAGGAGGAGGAGGAAGAAGAGGGGCCATTGGACTTCACCACGCCAGCGGGTCACATGTGGCTGCGCGAGGCGAAGCGGCGTGTTGCATTGGAGGCGGAGCGAGCGTTTATTGGCCGCAAACGCGCGCGACGGACAAGCCGCGATGGCGCCACACAGCGCCGGTCGCTCTCGGTAGAAAGCAGCGATGACGTGCGCAAGGTTGACGATTACAGGGAGGAAGAGAAGAAGGCGGTCGAAGAGGACCCGAGCATGCAACACGTTGTGCATGCACTCGTGGAGAGCCAGCTGCCCGCCACCATGCGGCAGCTTCTGGGGGAAGGGAGGCAGCAGGGGGATGGCGAGCCAGTAGCGAAGAAAATGAGGGGCAGCGGCAGCAACAACAAGGATGGTGGGGAGAAGGATGAGGGCGGAGAAGATGTGGCAGAGCTGCGTGCACGACTGGCAGCAGGCGTTGCAGCGGCGCAGCAGCAGGACGGCGGCGAGTTCTGGCGGAGTGTGAGCGCCACGGAGGCGACAATGCAGCTGGAGGAGCTCGTGCACCACCAACGCGAGCAAGTGGTGGCCGTCACCGCAGCAGCAGCTGCGGCCCAGCAGAGGGTGGAGCGCATCGTGCGTGTCTGCTTCGCACGGCAGATGCCACACCTGCAGGAGGGAGGCGATGACGTTGTGCAGCACGCCTGTGACTATTGGGGCGCACAGCTCCGGGATGCGCAGCGGCAGCTCGCCTTTTACACCGCCGTCCGAGAGGCGGAGCGCCAGGAGATGCAGCAGCGCATCGACGAGGCCACGCACCGGCTGGCGGGCGTCGAGCAAAGGGAGCGGACGCTGCAGGAGCTATACCGCGCCACGCGTCCCGGCCACAACGCTGCTGCTACTCTGTAAAAGGCGGAGTGGGAGAGGGAGAGAGGCCGGGGGGGAAAAGAGGAGACTCCCAGCGACGGCTGTGACGAAAAGAAAAGAGCGTCTGAAGTTATTAGTTGTATTTTCTTTGGGGGGTTGTTTTGTATGATGTGTCTTCCCACGTGTTCGCCTTGGTCTTTCCCAACGCCTTGTGATCTCTTTCTTGTCTTCCTGGTTTCGTTTTTCTTGTTGCTGGTGCGGTGCCACACACCCACGCACACAGTAGATGCTTCGCTGGGTTGTCAAGGAGGTGGAAAGCCCGTACGGCGACGTCGCCACGATGCACTGGGCGGTGGGCGATGACGACACAGGCGATGGCGGCAGCAGCAGCAATAACGGTGCGACACACAGTGCAGCCGATGATTGCGACGAGATGCAGCTGCTGCAGCAACTGGAGAGTGCCGAGGACCAGCTGGGCGCAGTGCTGTGGAACAGCAACAGTGTCGCCCTGCGCTACCTGCAGCAGCACGTGCTGCGCGACACGGCGGCGGCAGCGTACCGCGTGGTGGAGCTCGGCGCCGGTGTTGGTTGTCTCGGCATCGCGCTGGCGATGGCGGGGGCACGTGTTGTGACAACGGACCTGAAGGAGCTCGTACCGCTCATGCAGAAGAATATTGAGCTGAATGCCGCGCGGATTGCGTCGCGGAGTCATGGGCGCGGCGCCTGCACAGCACTCGCGTGGCGATGGGGGCCACCCCCGCGGCCCAACCTGAAGAATGCTATAAATAAGACCAAGGGAACGAAGGTGCAGCAACGGAAGGAAGAAAAGGTGGAGAAAAAGATGGCCGGTGCGGCAGGGAAAGTGTCTTCGCCGTACGCTGTGTCGTCTGCGTCCTTCTCGGCGCTGCAGCGGCTGCTGGACCGCGTTGACCTTGTGGTGCTGTGCGACGCCCTCTACGGCAACCCGAAGGACTGGCCGCAGCTGCTGTACACACTGACGGAGATTCTCGCCGCGAACCCGTCGTGTGAGGTGATCAATTTCTGTGAACAGCGTGTGGACGATGTTGAGGGCGACTTTCTGCGGCTCCTGCAGCAGGAGAACGCCAAGACGTTACCGTGTGGTGGCACTGAAGCTGCGGATGCGGGTTGTTTGGACGAGCACGAGAGTATGGACGCGGCGCTGACGCGGATGCGGGGGTTGCACGACTGGCAAACTTCAACAGAAGTCATAAGCGACGCGTCAAGTGATTTGGGCATGACGGTGCGTGCGACACGCATACGCTGGGTGCCGCGGCCGCCGCAGCAGCAGCAAAGGAAGCGACAGGCCTCGTCGTCGTCGTCGGTTTCGGTTGGTGGTGATGATAAGGTCGGGGTGGAACCGCCACGCAAGCGGGGAAGAGCCTCGTGAGTGTTGCAGGTATGGCGTGCAGGAAGGCGCAGCGGAATTGAGCTCCTCAGATACGCATCGAGAATAAATGTTTGCATTGGATGCATGCATGCACGCATACTGTCTGTGGGGAATGGATGGGGGGAACTGCTGCTGCACAATTACCATCTCTCTCCCTTCTGCCTATTACGCTTATTCGTTCTAGCTTCTTTTTTAGCTGGTTCCTCCTCACCAGTCCGCTCCAGTGGCATAGACAATAGACGCGACATCATAGAAGAGGCAAGACGCAAACAAACGAGCAAACGCACATAAAAACAAGTCGTATTTGCCGGTATTGCTGTCACTCTTGATAGAAACACTGTGTGCGTGCATGGCACAGGTACGTTACTCCGCGTGCCCCACTTTCCCCGGGGAGGTGGAGGACTACTACTGCACCACCTGCCATACGCCGTGCAGTGGTCTGTCGCTGCTGGTTGGGCCGCACACTGGCCACAACCGCGTGCCACTGCTGCAGGCCGCCGCGCTCCTCCCAGCCGCCATGCGCCGTGACGCGCGCGCGTTGGTGGCGCAGATACACGACGAGTATGTGCAGCCCAAGACGGCACAGTGCACCGCACTCCACACCACACTTGAGCACTTGAACCAGGAAAGACAGCGCAAGACCAGAGAACTGGAGGAGCTGCAGAGTGAGCTGCGCGCGCTCGATAAGAAGATTGACTCCACCACACAGGAGAGCGCGTTGGTGGCGTGCCACTGGTCAAAGCAGCGTTGCAACTTCGCGTCTCGGGTACGTCTGCTGCTCCGCGGTGCCGACGCTCTCGCCAAAACTGTCGGCTTACGAGAGAGAAGCCCACGCTCCCGCAGCATGAACGGTGCTGCGGCAGCGGACGTTGTCCCGCCACACACCCTGCAGACCATTGCGAAAGAGCTGGGCGAGGTGCGGCAACTACTCACGCAGCCGCTGGCGTGGCTCGAGGCGGGGGAGCGCGACCCAATGCGAAGTTGCTGCGTGGCGAACGCCGTTGACCACGAGCGGGCAGAGGCATACAGCTGGCTGAACTGCAGTGCAAAGCCAAGGTCCCGCAACAGCAGCAAGTCAACTCCGTCCGACGCGAAGGCTGTTTTGGACCGGCTGTTCGCCGCACAAATGGAGCTGCAAAGGGCTCCATCACCACCGACCAGCAGGTCCGTCGAGGGCGATGACAATGATAACGACACAGAAGACGGGACAAGTAGCTTTGACGGTCACGATGACAAGCGGAAGACAGTTGAACGCCAGCGCTGGCGACACGACGTCAAGCGAAGGGAGCAACTCCTGCGCGAGGGCCTCAATCGATGCTTGGTTGTCGACACACCACGAAAACGCACGGCAACGACGACGGCAACAACAACTGCGGCAGGCGATGAGACGGACGTGAACGATATCAGCAGCAGCAGCAGTGGAGGCAGTGTTAACGAGATGGTGGCCCATCTGCTGCGCGGCCGCCAGGGCGGCGATGCCATGAGTACGGCGTCACGCCCCCACAGACGCCACTCGCACTACGCCGTAGCGTGTGAGGACGACTTGTCGTAATGGAACAACAGTACAAAGTGGCTTGAGTAGTGGGGTCGTGAAAAGAATGAGCTTGGCGTGTTATGTTGGTGTCTGCCTGTACTACAACTCTGTTCCATTTCACATGGCTTNTTGAGTAGTGGGGTCGTGAAAAGAATGAGCTTGGCGTGTTATGTTGGTGTCTGCCTGTACTACAACTCTGTTCCATTTCACATGGCTTTGTTATTCTTGCTTGCTTTGTGCCCTCCCCATTGCTGTATTGTAGACTGTCTAGTGAGCAATCAGAGAGTGATCCACATTAACCTTCACCACACTTCCAAGCACAACGTGCCGTCAAAATTAAGGAAGATGGGCAGGATGGCTGACGACAACTTTTGTAACTTTTGGCCTGACCTGTGATTCCGCTACTGCTGCTGCTGCTGCTGCACCTGTGATGAGACACAAGCTTAGGACACCTTTGGACGCGGTGCGCCGCACATGAAAAGTAAAGCCTTATCGATTCGTACCCTGAGACACATGTACGGAAG